GCCCCTGTTTGGTGGGGGTAGGTACATCGTATAGTGAAGCAATATTTATTCCACTTCTATATACAGTATGAGAGCTTCCCACTGTCACCAGTTCCTTAGGAAAGCTGCGTTTGCTTGCATATCCATCATCACGATGCCTGCCACCTGCCAATAACGATGGTGACACCCATTGAATGACAAGCTGTAATCAGCTCTATAAGGGAAGGGGCAAAGTAATGGTGACATTATTGTCCAAATATGGCCATATTTAGACAATGATCTAACGTGCTCCATTCCCCACCCATTTGTAAGTTAAGGGCTGGGTGATGTCAGTGGTTGGCAAGGGCCGGGGGCTGCAAGCAGACGCTGCTTCCTTAGAAACCATTGCGAGCCAGAAGCTGTCATGCTCATCCATGCCAAAGCCCATAAACATTCAGCATTTGTATGAACATCCAAACAGCCAGTGTTCAGTCCAAACTAACATTCACCAGCCCCCAGAAAATCTATAATGAAGGGTCTGGTATGGATTTTCGGGGGACCTGAGGCATATTTTTGTTTTTTGCATTTTTTGCATGAGGTACTCCCTAAAATCCATACTAAAGTCAAATGGGTCTGGTATGTATTTTTGGGGGGTCTCTAAGCACTTTTTTTTATTCTTGCTGTATGATGTGCTACAGCAAAAGTGATATTTACAAAGAAAAATAATGACAGTTTAAATTAATGTCTAAGAAAACGTTCTAAAATAAAAAAACAAAAAAACTCCTGAACCCCTCCAAAGTTCCCCCAGAATTCAAAACAGACCTTGACCTTTAGGTGCCTGTGTACCATTTTTAAATAAAATAAAACGCAAGCAAGAGTGAAATGTAATTTTCTTGCCATTTAAATTCTTTTTTTTTTATAAATGTCAGTGTTAAAATTGCTGCTTCTGGCCACATGATGTTTTAAAAACATTTATTTGCATTATTACATGTTCCCCTGGGTAGTGCCCTCCCCTATGCTATTAATTGACACTCCCTTGCCTATTAGCCCAGAAAAGGGGCATTTTTCATTTACAGATTCGGCTCCTATTGATTTCAACAGGAGAACCCAAGACTGTTCGGCTCATCACTAGACTCATCCCTACTCAGAACTGGATGGATAAAGTTCAAAGAACCAAGTTCTTTGTCAGGTACCATATATATGTATTTTACTTGTGTATTTATCTGTTTACCTGGAGTTCTGTTTTACTTAAAAATAACCGCAAGGCCAACTCCCTGATATTGCATGCATTGATGTTAGCCTTAAAGGATAAGTTCATCTTTCGGAACATGTTACATGTTCCATCCGTTTTTAGGGTGGAACATGAAAGATGTTCCCATAGCCGCAGCTGTCACCTGCCCCCCCCCCCCCCTGACAAATAGTACGGGGAGACTTCTTCCTGTACTATCTGTCAAATTTGAAAATAGCACAGCCGTGCGGGGCTCCGCCCACATGGCCACATCATTCATTCATGGACTTCCGTGAATGATTGAACTGCAAGTCCCAACAGCCTTACGGCTGTCGGCTTGTAGTTTTCAATGAACTACCACAGTGCTGTAGTTCATGGTAGTTCATTAAAGCTTCCTGTCAGAATATCTGCTTGACCGTACATCCCGTATGGCAAACATATATTCTGACAGGTCTGCAGGAGGCTTGCATGGCATCAGCGATCTACTGATCATGCGTGCAATGCTTTTCAGGCACCTTTGGACAAAAATAATAAATTTTACATGATAAAAAATGTGCATTTATTATTGTTGTCTAAAATGTGAACTTATCCTTTAAGAGCAATAATGGCTTCCATAGTATGCAAGAGTTGAGTGGAAGGGCTATAGTTTGAATATTAACAGTGGGTTATGGTAGAGCTGTACTCTGAAATAATTGTTTGTATTCCCCATCCCTCCCCCCCCCCCAAAAAAACCACAGGGTTAGGGGCGGACTGACCATTTGGAAACTCAGGCACTGCCCGAGGGCCCGGGGTCAGTAGGGGGCCCCATGAGATGCCCCTGGTACCTTTTTCATAGGCTTTTTTGAGTTTGGGCAAGGACACAGGGGCCCCATGATCCTCTATTGCCCGGGGGGCCCCATGAGTTGTCAGTCCACCCCTGCCCAGGGTACTACAAATTGTGAGATACAGTGGGGAAGGGGGGCAGTGTATAAGTCCAGACTCTGGTCAGAAGAATTATCTTAGGAAAGTAGTAAAAGATCCTTTAACAAAGTTACCCCTTGATAGAATGCCATTCATACATATCATTTGTAGTTAATTCATTTTCCATAGACTTTACCCTGACTTCTCACTCTCCTGCCTTTTCTTTTGGAAGAAATGCACATTAAGGAGATCCAGAGACATACATATTCTAGTGCATTTGATTTTTATGATAAAAGGGGTTTAAAAATGTAAATCAATATTATAAAAAGTATTTCTTTAGTACGTGGTTAGGACTCAGCGAACACCATTATTTTCATTCACTATTTGCTTGAATAATTTAGGCACGAAAGCTAAATTATACATAAAGTGTACAGTTAGAGGAAAAAGTTCATGCACAGCCTTAGGCTATAGCCATCCCCTAATGATGTCTGTAGTCAGTGGAAAAGAACTCGTTAGACTGAGAGTAATTTCTCAAGGCTTACATGTTTTCTTAACACAGTTATGTGCGTGAAAAAAAATTCAACATATCCTGTTACAGTTTTTTTTTTTAAATAATCATATATTCTTACCTGCATGCATTTCATACTTTCTGCAAGCTTAAGGTGATTGTAGCCATACTAGTGTACTTGCAACAAAACAGCCGAGTAAAGATTGTTGTTTTGAAGATTTCTGTGTATCAGATTTTTGTGTATCACTATGGCTTGAACCCAAGAAGTAGGGTATAGTCTCCTGAAAACTTAATTGCTAGTGCAAATAAAAAAAGAGTATCACATATAGTACTCAGTTGTAGACTTTCTGCAATATATTTTTGGACTGATCTAAATACGATTTATCTCTCGCTACTTGTTTCTACTTATTTTTTTGTCATTTCTGCTTGACTGCTCACAGGTCATATTTATCAAGGGAAGGAAATTGGATACAATTTAAAAAAAACTATTTGTAAAAATAAATACAAGCCAAAAAAATGTATGTAGATATATTTCTAAATATAAGTGATATGTTTTAATCTTTAACCACTTGTCCTCCAGAGGACTTACCCCCCCCCCCCCCCCCCGCCTTCCTGACCAGGCCATTTTTTGTGTTACGGAGCTGCATTACTTTAACTGACAATTGCGCGGTCATGCAATGCTGCACCCAAATGAAATTTACGTCCTTTTTACCCCATGAATATAGCTTTCTTTCGGTGGTATTTCACTGCCTGTACATTTTTTTTTTTGCGCTATTTAAAAAAAAATACCGACAATTTGAGAAAAAACTATATTTTTGACTTTTTGCATGTCCAGTAAAAAAATTTTTACATGTCCAGTAAAAAATTTTAAAAATCAAATTTCGTCATAAATTTAGGCCAAAATGTATTCTGCTACATGTCTTTGCTAAAAAAAATCCCAATACATGTAAATTACTTGGTTAACGTGAAAGTTATAGCATTTACAAATGGCGGTGTATATACTGACATTTTTTTTTTTTTTTTTTTTACTAGTAATGGCGGCGATCAGCGACTTTTAGCGGGACTGCGGAAGTGCGGTGGGAATTTTGATACTGGGGTTCTGACATCCCCAGTGACATCAATACAGTGATCAGTGCTAAAAAAAAAAGCACTGACACTGTACTAATGGCACTGGGCAGGAAGGGGTTAACATGAGGAGAGATCAAAGGGTTACCTGTGTGCTGTTGCACTATGTGCTGTGTCTGTGTGTTTCACTGTAAGCACACTGCTTTGCATGGCTGTACTATGCACAGCCATCCAAAGCAGTGTGCACAAGCTGACAGGAAGAGAACTGTTTTGTTTACAAACACTTCTCCTCCCCATTGGAGAGCCTCCTACCCGGAAATGCAAAATCACGTATATATACGTGATTTTGCGCACCCGTGCCACCTTGTAGCAGTATTTCTGCTATAGGTTGGTTGGGAAGCGATTAATATGCCTTACTATGGACAAGAAAAGTTTCATAAAGTGATTAATGTAAAATATTACAAAAAGGCAATAAATAGAAGACATGGAGGTTTCCCTTTCCCCAATTGGATATTTGCAATTTGAAATGATTTGATGCTTATAATGCTGTATCCCCCTCTTTTTTTCTTTTGCAATCTTTGATCTAAAAGCTATTTAAAGCCTAGTCCCATTTGTTTCCAACCCAGTCTCACCCAACTTGACATGTGTTTTTGTCTGTGTCTTCTTTGGAGACGGTCTGGTAGATTTTGGGCCCAAACCCAACCCTTTAAACTAAGGATGAGATTAGGTTTTTTGCAGAGCACCAATACTCAAAAGATTCCTAACAGCTTGACACTGAAGACAACATTGGCGCAAAACTGTTTTTAACCACTTGCCTACCAGGCATTTTCTCCCCCTTACTGCTCAGGCCAATTTTCAGCTTTCAGCGCTGTCACACTTTGAATGACAATTGCGCGGTCATGCAACACTGTACCCATATGAAATTTTTATTATTTTTTCAAGACAGATAGAGCTTTCTTTTGGTGGTATTTAATCACCACTGGGTTTTTTATTTTTTGATAAACAAACCCAAAACAACTAAAAATGTTGAAAACAAAAAGTTTTTTTCTTAGTTTCTGTTATAAAATTTTGCAAATGAGTAATTTTTCTCCTTCACTGATGTGCACTAATGAGGCTGCAGTAATGGACACTGGTAGGCGGCACTGATAGGTGGCACTGATGGGCACTGATAAGGAGGCATTTGTAGGTGGCACTGATGGGCATTGACAGGCATCACTGGTGGGAATTCACAGACATCACTGATGGGCACTGAAAAGCAGTACTCATATATGGCACTGATAGGCAGCACTGACTGGCACTGTTAGGTGGCACTGATGGGCACTGATAGGCTGCACTGACGGGCACTGATAGGTGGTACTGAGTGGCAGCACTCATAGACAGCACTGACTGGCACTGGTAGGCAGCACTGGTTGGCAGCACTCATAGACAGCACTGACTGGCACTGATAGTTGGCACTGACAGGCACTGATAGGTGGCACTGAAAGGCAGCTCAGATAGGCACTGATATGTGGCTTTGATGTGCACTGATGTACACTGACAGGCGGCATTAATGGACACTGACAGGTGGCACTGATGGGGCTACACTGATCATCAGGGCACTGATCATTAGCTCCCTGATCATCAGTGTAGATGTCCCCTCTGAGGAAAGCCGATTACCGCCTCTCCTCTCTTCACGAGCTGTCAGCGTGACAGCTCGTGAGGAGAGAAATTCTGATAACCGGCATTTCCTTATTTACATGCGATCAGCTGTGATTGGACACAGCTGATCACATGACAGAGCCAAAGTCATCCGCTGAGTCCCAGGGGCACAGCGCACCACCAATCGCATGCTGCACACCCTCGGGGGCGCGTACACGCGGTTAGAGTGGGAGGACATCATATGATGTCCTCCCAGTACGAGAGAACTGCCTTGCACCCGTCATTTCCTTAAATGACGGGCGGGAGGCGGTTAAATAATGCAACTGCATTATCACTGCCAAAATAAACATGGTGTTATTGTTCATACGTCATGCATTCTGTAGAGATGGAAGACTTTTGTCAGGCATTTTGTTATCTTCCCCAGTTCCCCAAAGGTGCGAACAGAGGCAGGAGGAATGCACAGATGTAGTATAACTGCCCTCAGGAAAACTTGCTTTCAGTGGGCTCCATGAACATGTTCAACTGACTGAAGCTGGCCATTAAAATTATTTTTTTCATTTGGTTCTCGGAAGAAGAGACAGTGTGTTGGAGAACTTTTGGAGAAACAGGAAGCAGTCTGGAAGACCCTGTATCCTAGAAGAGGACTTCATCATAAAGAAAGATCCAAGTTAAGTAACTGTTTAGTGTATGCCTATCACATAGATAGCCAGCTTGTGTATGTTGCAGGCATGTTTTGTACTACTTTGTATGCTATGAATTGTGTCTCCTGCAGTTTTATTTGCAGGCTTTCTGTTTAGTAAAGCAAGCATTAATACGCTATAGAATTTTAAGCTTCCTTGACTTATACTGCAAAGTAACATTAAATTGACACCAAAGCAAAACAGGTGCCAAGAGGGCCACTCATGAAGCAAATTTCAGCTGGTTCATCAGGGCAGCTTAAAGTGGTAATAAACCCAAACACAAAAATATATTATATTGTACCTTACCAGTTCTTAGATGTGGTGGCTGCATTGTTAACATGTTTAGGTTTTTTCCCTATATTTTCACCTGCTGATTCAGCCAATAAAGCTATCATTTTTCAACTTCCTTTAAAGCAATTCTAAAGGCTATTTTTTTTTAAAATAACAAACATGCTATACTTATCTGCTGTGTACAGTGGTTTTGCACAGAGCAGCCCGGATCTTCCTCTGCTCAGGTCCTCCGCAGGCTCTCTTGTCCTCTCCTTCCTGACGGGTGCCCCCACAGCAGGCAGCTTGTTATAGGGGAACCCACTGCTCCATGTATCCACTCACACATGGAGACGCAGCTTGGCCCCATGTTCTCTCTCTCCTCATTGGCTGACTGGCTGAGATTGGCTCTCGCTTGCTGTCTCAGCCAATGAGGAGGCAGAGACCCATGACAGCCAAGGCTGTCATTCACATCGCTGGATCGCGATGAGGCTCAGGTAAGTATTGAGGGGGCTGGGGGCACTGCTGCACACTGAAGGTTTAACCTTTACAACCACTTTAACTGACCAAGCTGTCGGATAAAAGAGGCAGTTAGAGGGCTGAGGCAAACCATTTAACAGCTGACTTTAAAGTCAGCTTTTATTAATTTATGTAAAACCTTTATCTAAAAATGAAAAAACTATTGCTGTAACTGCTTAAGAAGTGTTAAGGTCAAAGTTAAAAGTGGAAAATTCCTTTAAATGCTTTTGCTGCCAGGCACTGCGCTCCACTTTTACGCCCATGTGGCCAGACCATATGTGCACTTTTTCCATTGCTTTTTCATTTTTTCCTGGCAGCTTTCAGAGTTTGTGAAAGACCTACGAACCCATATAATTTATGAAAGCATAGGACCAGTAGAATTAAAAGTAGGTATTACTAATTTTTAGGGCCTCATGATATTTACACAAATGTTTATCAAACACATTTTTTTCACTAAGAACAATAAAATCATTATTAGCAGATACAAACACAACAAATTTAACAAAATTCCTGCTAAATTCCTACTAAGTATACATTCTCTCACCACAGGGGGTGCCTTGCCAGGGAGTACCCTCCCTGTCAAAGCACCTTGTCCCCATGTTGATGATGACAAGGGCCTCTTCCCCACAACCCTTGCCTGGTGGTTGCGGGGGTCTGCAGACAATTGACTTATTGGAATCTGGAAGCCCCCTTTAATGATAATCCCCACATGAATGAGTACAATATGAACTCAGGCACAACAAAATGAGTTATAACCAAGAAATAAATAAACCCTAATGTCTGAAAAGTCCTGTATTAAAAAATCACCCCAAAATTTCCCTCTTTCTACATCCATCATCAATCATGATACCCCCCCACCTGCTGGAAAAAAGCTCTCAGTTGTCATCAGCTATAAAAGGAAGGGTGGGGATAGTGGTGACATCATTGACCAAATTTGGCAAATTCATATTTGATCATTGTTGTTGCCTAAATATGACCAGTGGCTATATTTGGGCAGTCATGTCACTGCTATCCCCACCCTTTGCTTAAAAGGAGCTCTCCATGACATCAGTGATTCCTAGTTGCACAAGTGGACTAATGTTTGGGTGTTCTATCAAATGCCCAAATGGCCAAAGTTCATACAGATCTGCTGCATAGAATCTGATCCTTGCTAATATGATAAGATGCATGCACCCTGTGTGAGGAGCCACTGATGTGAGAAGAACCCCAGATCCCTTGAGCCTGCTCTCATGCCATACTTGCACAGATACTTATTTATAGCCTACTGATGCATGTGCAGCTGCTGCAACATGGCCAAGGTAGAGTTCTACCAAGTGGGCATGTCACATATTAGGTGATGTATGGGCAGATGAAGTACTCATTGAATATCATGAAGCCACACATCTGGGTATATCTGCCTGAAATGGCCACAAACTCATCTGGCTTAGAAGATCCTGTAAGCAAGGGTAGCTATCTAGGAAGTACTGCACCACCAATTGCAGATGTGTGCCATGTAGGACACATGTGTAAACTTTCCTTGCTGAAGGGCAGACAGTTAGTTGGTGCTGTTGTGACATATGACCTTTTCAGGCACAGAATGGCATTGGGTTAATCACCTCTGGGCCTGCTCCTGCAGGGATGTTACTGCCCCAGTGGGGCTCCTGTCCCCTAAGCATACCAGTTGCAACACTGGCATTGTTTTGCCTGAGCCATTGCACAGCCTCCTTAATGCTTGTATGGAACTGGGGGTTCAAAGGATGACTCCCTGACTTTGCTGTCAACATCACCAGCTGTAAGGACATGGGGCAACACAACCAGCTCCAACAGCCTGCCCCGTCCTGCATCCTTCCCAGTTGCCAGCTAAATTACCCAGTGGGCTGTGAATGATATATATAGTAATGTGTCTTCCCATACTTTTTGGACCATGTGCCTGTGGTCAGGTGGACCCTGCTTCTTACCATTGACAGCCCAGTGACATGGAAACATTACCTTCAACATAATGGTGGAGGGAAGATATGGCTGTTTGAGTAAAGAAATGTTGGCTAAGAACTTGTCCCTACAGTACGGCAAAAGCCACAAATTTACAAAAAAGGAGTTGAATCAGCTGTAAAGGAAGCAATTTTTCCAATCTTGCATTAAGCTGCTGGGCTTGGAGGGGGCTGGGGACATAGTTATTCTTCCTTTCCAGCAGCAGGGACAGAGAAACTTGCCTTCTGAATGCTACAGCTGGAGATGGAAAGTGGGGTTGGCAGAATCAGAGCATGTTTGCAGCCTACACATGCCTCTACTCTGAATGGCACCATGACAACCCTCTCCTTTAAGCTGTAAAAGCCATAAGGTTAACCTCTGATACCTCTGCTAGCTTTGTAAAAACATTAAAACTGGAGTGCCACACCACTGCTAACAGGTCCAGATGCCACTTTATTCCAATAAAAGTAAGGGGGACAACCCAAAAAGAGCCAATTTACTAGCTCTAAATCCCATTTCTCCACTCTTATCACATGTAATGTTACACTTTTTTTACATTATTATTAGTGAACACCAATTTTTTAACTTTAGCCTTGTTCTTATCTTAGAAAAAAATAAGGAAAAAGGTAATAGTACTTTTCTTATTGTCATTTAGTGGGATATTGTATTGTGTATTTTATTCTTTGATTTGTAATTTACATTTTAGACATGCTAGGAAAGCCATATCTGAATGCTTATGGGTTCTTGAAAATTTTATACAACTCTTCATTTGATGTGCATCAAAAATTAGAAATCTACAGTACCCATGAGCAAATGTAAAACTCTCAAAGCCTGACTAGCAAAAGTGGGAGGTCCATAATTAGATATCTCAAGTAAAAAAGTTCACTTCATTGCACTGTACCTTACCTAATAATACAGTAAGTCAGGCCCTAAGAATCAAAAGGAATTTGAACTCTTAGTTTAATATTCAAGTCAGTAACAAAAGTATAGTTTAAAATTCCTTGGGGAAAATATCAGACAATATTATACTCACAAATGGCACAGCTGCAGGCAGTCTCTTGCAGTGACTGGCCTTGGGTGCCTAGTTTCCCAGGATCTGCCTTCTCCCTATTGTACATACTTATGGATCAGTGAGCAGCACTACAGTTACATGCACTGTAAAGAAGAGCATACAAATTTAATTTGATTTCAACTGTCTGGATTTTTAAATTTTTGGACTAAGAGTAGTAGATAGACATTAGTCTCTTATCTGTTACACATAAATGGACTTCCAATATTTTCCAAAACGTTTACTAGAATAAAAAAAATTAATAAATATATACAGTATATATATATATATATATATATATATATATTTTATATTACTTATTACTTTTATTTGAGCAACCAACCAGATGTGGAAAACTGTATTTGTTCATCTAAATTGAGCTTGCTGCAAAATTACCAAACTTGCAGTGAAACAAAAGTTCAGTTTCGCTCATCAGATGCTGAAAAACTAGCTTTTAATTTTTATAATTTAAAAATGAAATACAGTGGAGTCCAATTATTTGGTAATATTTTACAAAGGCATAATTTGTAATTTCATGCTGAACTCAATTTCACCAATTTTAGTTTTACATAGTAGAATAGGGTAATGTTTAAAACCCCATATCAGTTTTTTTTTGGGGGGGGGTTTGCTGTCTGGGTGATTTCAAATGGAAAATTGAATATCAAATACTTATCATGATTTTCGTTACATCACTAGCTCCATGTTAGCCTTCCACTGAGTATGCCCCACACATACAC